TGTGGCCCAGAACCAACAAATTCTACAAGTAATGCTCCTTGGGCATCAAGGAGTTCTCCACATGGGTGCTCCTCATCTAGGAGGAAGAGCACAACCTAGACCTTAAGTCAAAGGAGCTCCACGCCTTGGGCGTCAAGGAGCTCCCCACATGGGTACTCCTCATTTGAGCACCCCCTTTGGAGTCCCTTCAGGCGCCCGCACAGGGGAGCTCCCCACAAGGGACCTCCACCTCCTCTTCTAGCTCCCTCATTTCATGGTGGAGAACCTCTTTTCCAAGATGATGAGGGTGAAAACCAAAGCTTGGAGCATGAGAGTCATATCCATGGTAATTCCAAGGGACCTCCTCCTAATCATTGTGACGAAAAAATTAAAGAGGTGCAGAATCAATTGGATGATGTCTTCAACGCCATGAAGGCACGAGGATCCGAGATAGTGGATTACCTTATAAGTCGAACCGACACACCTTTCAAACCTAACGTAGCGAACTACCCACTCCCTAAAAAATTCAAGATGTCATCCATCGAAACCTTTGATGGTACGAAGGATCCATTGGACCACCTTGAAACTTTTAAAATCTTGATGCAACTGCACAACGTCCCTAACGAAATCATGTGTAGAGCGTTCCCAACCACCTTGAAGGGATCCGTTCGACAGTGGTTCACTAAGATCACCCCCGTTTCCATCGGCTCATTTGTTGAGCTGAGCAGGTTCTTTGTGTTACACTTTATTGGAGGACGCCGTCACCAGAAGCCTACCACCCACCTGCTCAGCATAAAAGCAGGATCGAGATGAGAGCCTGCGAAGCTACCTCACTCGTTTTAATGAGGAAGTCCTTCAGGTCGAAGAGCCCGATGAAAAAGTCAGCATGACTGCCTTCTTGGGAGGCCTTCAGTCATCGAGCTTCCTTTTCTCCGTGATGCAACGCCCACCAAAGAACATGCCAGAACTATTGGTAAAAGTTCAAAAATTTATGAATGCTGAGGAAATCAACAGGTCCAGGCGAGATGAATCATCTCTCGAGGGTCGTCAAAAAGCTTGGCCTACCTTTAAACTGTTCTTAAACAGGTAGTCTATCTCCAGCTTAGCAACTCTTTCGAGGGTCGCCAAAAAGCTTGACTTACCTCTACACTGTTCTTAAACAGGTAGTCTATCTCCAGCTTAATGATTCTCTCGAGGGTCGCCACAAAGTTTGGCCTACCTCTACGCTGTTCATAAACAGGTAGTCTATCTCCAGTTTAGTGACTCTCTCGAGAGTCGCCAAAAAGCTTGACTTACTTTTACACTGTTCTTAAATAGGTAGTCTATCTCCAGCTTAACGGCTCTCTCAAGGGTCACCAAAAAATTTGCCTACCTCTGCACTGTTCCCAACACAGGCAACCTATAGCCCAAGCTTAGCGGCTCTCTCGCGGGTCGCCAAAAGCTCGGCCTATGTACTGTTCTCAAATAGGCAACCTATATCTCTAGCTTAGCGGGTCTCTCGTGGGTCGTCCAAAAGCTTGGCCTCTACATTGTTCTTAAACAAGCAGTTTATATCTCAAGCTTAAGGACTCTCTCTTGGGTTGCTAAAAGACTCAATCTCAAAAGGATCTTGAAACTCAGGTCGTCTGCAACCCCAAGGGATTACCTTAGATTGAATGTCAACAATTGGGGCCTCATCCATTTAGCACTTAACGCCTGAGACGCCTGGCCAGCGGCGCTAAGAAGTGTCTAACTCCTTCTGTCAGCGCTTGGAGGGGCGCCTAACCCTTTGTGCTCACTCAAAATGGTACTCTATGGAGCCTGCACACCAAGACCACCCCTCTTTCCTCCTCCTTGCTCGCCTAGATTAGCGATTAAGGCATACCCATGCTCACCCAAGATGCCAAGCACAGTAGGCTGCTCACCCCAAGCGACCCTGCACAACAGGATGCTTGCCTAGCTGGTTCGCGCATACAACAGCACCAATGTGCCCATCGGTGCACTCCCCAGAGCTGCTCCATTCGCTCGAGGGCTCCGTGTTCGCCTGGGTCGGGGTGCCCTGCTCTTGGGCCTCGGCGCCTAATCCCTGACCAACAGAAGTGCTTGCCCAACACCTCTCCTTATAGCCTGTACCCAAGTCCTGCTCGCCCAAGGCATGATCGCCCAAGCTCTACTCGCCTAAAGGACTGCCTAACACAACAGGAGCCTCCTTGGTTTGCTCGCTCAGATCACCAAGGCTACCTAGACCGCCAGCGTCACAAGCACCCCGTTCACCCAAGACCACCGTTGCCTCGCCAACATGGGTGCCCAACCCTCGCCCAATAGCCAGTCCTAAGGGTCATGCACCTCCATCTCTTCTCCAGGGGACAACACCATCATTTCCAAGTTGCACACCAAGATTTGCTGACCTTAGCACATGATCTCCACCATTCGACATTGTTTGAAAAAATAATTTTTGCCTAAGAGGTTATATGCTCGCCCAAAAGCTGGCTGTTCGCCTAAAAATGCGCCCTTAGCTCCCTGCTCGCTATTTTGACCGTAACTCAAAATAGGGCTTATTACATACCAAATCGAAGCTCTCGACGAGCTGAGCAAAACTCATTACCAAGGGTAATGAGCTTTTCAAAAAAAAAAGTTCAAAAAACATTCAGAAAGAGGTGTTTTGGCCTCCCGCAGTTTCTTTTTTAAAAAAAAAAAAAAAATTTGCTGCTCACCCATGACACTGCTAGCACGCCCAGGAGCTCTCTGCTCGCCCAAAAATGCACGCACAACTCTTTGTTCGCTATTTTGATTGTAAATTTTGCTATGTAACTCAAAATAGGATATATTATATACTAAATCGAAGCTCTCGACGAGATGAGCAAAACTCATTATCTTTGATAATGAGCTTTTCAAAAAAGTCCAAAAAATTCCTACAAAGAGGTGTTTTGGCCTCTCGAAGTTTTTTTTTTTTTTTTTCAAAAAAAAAAAAAAAAATTCAGCTCGCCCAGTAGGTTTTCTGCTCACCCAGCACAGTATGTGCTTGCCCATAAGTGGCCTGCTCGCCTAAAACATGCATCCAGTTCCGGCTCGAAGTTTTGACCGTAACTTTTGTTCCGTTGCTTGAAATGAGATTTATAATATATCAAATCGAAGTTCTCGACGAGCCCTACAAGATTCCCAGCCTTTGGTTATGATTGATGCTGTTGAAAGTCCAAAAAAGGCCTATAAACGGATGTTTTAGCCTCCTGAAGTTTTTTCCAATTATGTCGGTCAGCTTAAAATTCAAATTCAACTTAAATGCCCTCATTTCCAAGTTCTGTTGGACACAGGGCATTGGGGGGGCAAATGATGGGCTAGGCCCAAAGGCCTAACACATGTTATAAGTTTGGTTCGAGCTAAAGGCCCAATGTCAAGAGATCCAACTAGTCAATCCAACTGAGTCTACACCCGGATAACCTTATCAAGATTAAGGGGCTGCAGGGGAGCATGCATGGTCATCCAAGAATCTCCTTTACCACCTTGGAGTAAGGGTCATCCAGGGGTCTCCTCTATCACCTTGGAATAAAGGTCATCCAAGAGTCTCTACGCCACCAAGGGAGTATCCAAGAGCCTCACCCTCACAGCCTAGAGAGAGTCAACCTCCCTCATCCTTGAACAAATCCTTTGGAGAGCACACCAACTGTCACACTTACTGAAAAGATAATAGGTCGCTTCGTCAGATCAGCTACCTAATTATTATCAAACGGTCCTAAGCCATTATGACCGTCAGACTAGTCATACAACTACTATACCAAGCCACTATAAATTGTAAGTTCCCCCAACACTTGGGGGACATCAAATTCATTTGGACATAATTCTCTCCTCCCCTTTCAAGGCTTGTAATCATGTACTCTCCTTCCACATCAGAGATAATAAAATTTTGGCAAACCTAGTCATTCAAAGTGGAAGTAGGTCGTATTGACCGAACCACTATAAATCTTGTCTTCTCTCTTCTTCTACTTACTGCATTTTATACTATAACTTGACTAGTGGTGTGCAAACTAATTTGTGCATCATCATATTACAATAGTAATACTAAATGATAATACTGATATAGTATCATTAATTAATAATATTAAAACAAATAAATAAATAAATTCCTCTAAAATTAATAATCAATCATTCATATAAGTAAATAATTATTTATCCTTCTTCCATATAAGTAACTAACCATCAAAATAGGATTCACTTGTTCATGTTTTATTATTAATTGATAAAACTACGTTAACATTGCTGACATGATATTGTCATTCCATTCAATATTTATTCTTCATCGTGAGATCTATTTTAATTAAATTTTCTATTCAATTTTGCTGATAATTCTGATTGAATGAATATCTACGAGTCAAATTACGAAATATGAGCTAATACGTACAATCAAATGGCTCGAGTGTTGATAGATGAGTTAACACATACAACACAAACTATGATATTAGATTCATCTTGTCCATAATTAACCTTGTAATTGGGCACATGATGTTCACTCGACGCTTTTTCTTTTAGGATTGACGATTTGGATAGACTTTAATTGAAACACTAATTTTTTTCAATTGATAATTTATAAAGTGAATAGAAACTAGGTGAAAATTTTAATGTATAAATAGAATTTACCCATAATTATCAGATGACAAATCCGAAATACCCCACCAAACAACATATTTCCAATCTTTACTAGGAAAAGTGCCAATATAGAAATCAGACTAAAAATAGACATGATTTTGCATAAAAGGAATACGTGCAAAAAGGAGTGAGATTCTCTCAATGATAAACGGGATATATTTTATTTAAATAGTTTTATCAATAAACCATTCGTAACGAAGGTGCAATTAATGCACATACATATAAATAGATGTATCATAAGATTTAGATTCTCTTCATTACACTTTCATTTAATCCATAAATTGTAAATCACTCACTATTTTTGGGTAAAGAGCCTCCTGATAAAATGTGTCTAATGTGAAATTATAATAAGTGATATACCGTTGAGTAAAACCAGGTCAAAGTGTAATGTCTTAATTATATCACGGGAAGACTTTAAAGACCGTTGGTGGCTTAGGCGGTGGTGGTGGCGCCTTAGGTGAACATTTTCCACCTTTCTTGTTTTTGCTTATGCAAGTGCAAAAGCAACTGCAACCGATTTTGCTGCGGCCTGGTGGCGATGTGAAGCGGCCTGGTGGCGAGTCTGGTGGCACGGCCAAGAGCGGACGCTTAGTGCATTTCCCAACGAAGCCACGGAACTTCTTTCTACAGTCCTTGAGGCATGTAAATAGAGAGCCTCTACACCCCAAGGAGTGGGTGCACTGGTCTTCAAGTGCATTGATCTCCGCTGCAAATAAATTAAGGCCAAAAACAAGTTAAGTAAAAACAATTTAAACATGTTGATTGTAGTTTTCGATTTTCACAGTTTGGTACCTCTCGGGGAAAAAAGTTATGACCAATGACGTCATTTTTTTATTTAAACATATCAAAATTACGAGGTTCAAAACATTTGAGGTCAATTCTAGAAACTTGGAATCAATCTCAACTTTCTAGAATTGAGCCTAATCAATCCAATTGATTGACGAAAGAGGGGAAAAGGGTGCTATCATCTATTTCGATCAATTTTTTAAAGCATCGAAAATCAACCATATCATAACTTGACCTATTTTGATTGTAATTTTTGATATAGTACCAAAAAGTTATGATAATATAACGAATCATTGCATTCTACGACAAATTATAATTTTTAGAACAATTTAGAGAGAGAGAGAGAGAGAGAGACCTAAAGTGCTGATGAAGAGGAGAGTAAGGAAGCAGATGGTAGTGAGCTTTGCCATGTTAAGCGATCCTTGGAAGTTCTCTGAAAGTTGTACCTGTTATATAGCATTGCCAAGGTGTGCTCAATTTAATGGCTCGTCACATAGCTTGGTATCCTAATAAATTTGGTTTAATCCCTAGATCTTCTTTCTGAATGAATCTTGTTTTTCTGCAATTCCTAAAAATTGTAATTCATAATTTTTCGATAATACATACACGTATACACCTTTTCACATCATAAAAACAATGCTAAAAAAAAAAATCCCTTTTAAGTGTAACTCTATAGGCATATGATTTATGTTTTAAGACACAAATATACGTATTCTTGGAAAAAAAAAGTATCCACAATGACTTTAATGACACATGCATTACCTTACCTTCTATTGTATTATGAAAACAGAAGGGTTATTTTTCATATTACAATTTATGGCTGGATGCCATATGTTGGTTTTTGGATATTCTCAGTTTCAAACTTTGTTAATTGTAATTAAGGGTGATTATCTAAGTGTAAATTCATTAATGATAATGCCATTGAAATCTAAATAGGTATTTTCTCTAACGAAAAAGATTAATTCGTATTTCAAATTTTTAGGTCCAAAAATTAGTACTTTTCATTAATTTCTTTTTTTAGTTCGACAGTCAGAGGTGCTAAGGTATTCATGAGAGATAAATCCCTCGTGATTTAACTCAAAAAATTACTAAAATTCGAATTCGAAACATCTGAATTTATAGCTCAACTCCAATTACCACTTTTGTCTCTCTAAGCCAATTTACACACAGTGAAATTGAAAAAAATGAATTGGGGAGCATCATATATATATGGTTCTTAAGCTATGAAGTTCAATCTCACTTTATGTTGAATAAACCTAAACGAATTTAGAGGGTAACTCAAATGGTAATAAGGACGAGCTGTAAATTCAAACGTCTTAACTTCGAATCTTAACAACCCTTTACAAGTACGCCATGAGGAATTTATCCCCCATGAATACCCTAGTTCTAGCGTAGATGATTTGTCTTTGACCGGACTAGGAAGAGAATTATTTGAGATGAGCGTAAGTTGACCTGGACAGTCTTGGTCATTGAAAAAAAAGAGGATAAATAGCCTAAACAAAAGGCAAAAGCCTATTTCTTCAATGTCCCAAGTTTTTTCCATTCAGTCAGCCATGTTTTTAGCAAAACCAATTTGACCAAGCCATTCCGAAAGCCACAAACTTTCCCACACTTTGTGGGTTATCACCCAACACATAGGCTTTTAATCCCCTTATAAATGCCCGCGCCCAACCTCCATTGATATTGTCCAAAACTTAAGAAACACTGAAACAGCAGAAGAAGGGAATAAGAACAAGCATAGACAAAAGGTATCAGAAGAAAGAAAATGGCAAAGAAGCTTGTTGCAGTGTTTCTCATGTGCATTGTTGTCCTCGCAGCAGTGCATGTGCATGAAGTTGTAGCCGATGAAGAAGTGTACAAATCATGCTATGCACCCTGTCACCAGGATTGCTCATCCGAAGGCAATGGCTATACCTTCTGTGAAATGAAGTGCGACGGTGACTGTGGGGCTAAAGAGCTTCAAGGTATATGAGTTCTGAATTTGAATTTTCTAGTCACGTGTGGTTTGTATGTAATTGTAATTGCATTCATTTGAGTCCTACCATGATTGTGGTTCCGGCGATTCACCCTATATAGAATCATCTTTAGTATAGATGGCAAATGCGACATGGTAATTCTTAAGTTATAAAAGTTTTTCGATTTCGATTATTATTCCTATTCTTTTTGAATAGACCTTATATTTGTTCATTAATTTTATGGGTGCAGCCAAATTGGAAAAGCTCAAGGCTTAAACAATGGACCATGGATAATGCAGTTTTCCTTCAACGAGACAGAGGGAGAGTGCAGAGTCTACAATAAAAGTTGTGGATGACTGTAAACATGTTTCTTTCCACTGCTGAATGTTATTATGAAAATGCAATAAATTGAATTTTCATTATTTATCAAGAGCAAAATTTTACTGTTGATTCACACCACATCTCTTCTTTAAAAGTGAATAATGAGGGAGAAAAAAAAAACCCAACCAATCACACACACTGATTTCTATTTTTCTTCTATTTCTTTGTGTTATTAGTGCACCAATACTTACATATGAGTCTGTTTTATGGTTGCTTTGTCTGGCTCTTTACTCGGGAGTGGGGTCGCACATTAATTTAATTTATGGTTGCTTTGTCCGATCCTTAGTGGTGGTCCAGTGATTCGATACTTCCCACACTTCCCTACTCAACGTGCATTTGTTGAATTTGGCTTACTAGTTTTGGCTTTCAATTGAGTCCCAGATTGATTCAAGACTATACCTTATGACAAGCAAATTTCATGGATCATCCTTTTTTTTTACGAACCTTGATAGATAAAGATAAATAGAGAAAAGGTCTTCTAGTAAAAGGGGTTCGATTTAAAAGTCTTTGAAGGTCTAATATGCACGAATAACATGAGAAGGACATGCACTTGGTAGCTAATAGACAGCCTCCTCCATCGCCGAAGCACCTTCCCAATACAGACCCAAGCTTTGAATAAGCTATTACGAAAAAAAAGTACACCTCTTCTCACATCGAAATAATACCTCTTACGAGTTTTACGAGTCTCAACACTTATTACCAAAGCAAATTTTCTAAGTTGGATGCACTAATATTCTTGATTAAAAAAAAACCCAGATTTGTTCCATATATAGCTCCACAGTCATTTCTCTCTCTCTCTGGTTTTGATTTTCTTTTTCTGGGTCAGCATCTGCCTCATGAAATGCTGTGAGAAATCTGTCAAAGTGTGTGTGTGTGTGTGATTGCTTCTGAAAAATGGAAAGAGAAAAAAGGGACTGTTTTTATAATCAAGAGATAATTATAAAGACCTTGATAACACCACCACAACTGCACAGAGGGGGTGGGGGGACTTGGGTTTCGGCCAGGGGCGGAGCCAGAAAGTTATGTCAGGATGGATACAAATATTTCAACAAATTAACTTTATTTTTTAATAAGTTTGGGTGAATTGTGATAGGTCAAAATTTTGATTTTTTAATAAATTTTGGTAGATATTGATGGACTCAATTTTTTTTATTTTAAATGGACATAATTTTTTAATTTTTTTAAATAAATAATGTGAGCCTAATATTTTTATCTTAGATTTTGGATAGGCACAAATAATACATTATATAAATATATAATATATATATTTAATTAATAAATTTTTTTTTTGAGGGACACGTGCCCACCCTGCCCTAGCCTCCCTCCACCCTTGGTTTCAGCAAGAGTACTGACAAAGGCAAAAAGAGGGGAGAAGACCGAAATTGTTTTGGCAAGTAACGCCAATAAAGGCATTTCCATGCCTCTGGTGGCTAGCATCGGAGCATGGTGCATCTGGCTCTCCATTGAGACAGTGAAATTTCACCCACGGAAGTCCTTCTTCGGTACACACTTTTTTACCATCAACCACCTGGGGTAGTACCCTCATCATCATCAACTCAACTGCATCCACCAAAACCATACATATATCTAATTACAACCTTAATATTGACACAAAACATTGCTCATCAAAATATAAGGTCTATTTGAATCCGTTAAAAACAATTTATACACGGTTATGTATGATCCGAACTTATACATGGTTTATGTTCATTAATCAATAAACATTAATAAGGTTGGTGTAGGTACAAAGAAAGAGTGCACCGAGGACGAGAATAGTAGTGTGAAGCACTGCTGAGAGCTTGGCCATCCTAACGCACGACTGGAGAGACCCCTGTGACTGTGAGTTCGCCTGAGACCGGCCCGTTGTTTCGTCTTTTATAGGTCAAAAACGGTGTGCGCCATTAATGATAACACCAAATCGGTATTGTTAAATTTATGTAATAAAGCTATAGGAATTGGATTATTCTTCCATGAATATTGATATACGTCCAAGTTATAGATTATGGAAATCTCCATATAATTGACTTTTTTTTTGTTATATAATGTTTAAGTTTGTGTTGATTATTTCTTTATATTGTAGGTAAAAATATTGCCACAAAATATATATAATTAGTGGTGAAAAATTAGTGTTGCCACGGATGATATGATATTGAATCCAATTAGTGACAATTTAAATATTGCAGCAAAAATATCACTAATTCATCACTAATTTTATCGAAGAAAACTTTTAGTGGTGCTTATTTATTTGTTGCCACTAATGATGTTGGTGAAAAAATATGTAGTGACAACAATTTAAATTCTGCCACTAATGATTTAAAATATTGGTGATAAATTTTTTTACTTGCAACAAATATGCAATTTTTACAGCAACAATTTTTTTTTTCCTGTCACTGTACGTTAATTTCAATGGTGGCACCCTTGACCATTCGAGCATCTTGTGAGTGTGGTATGTTGTGTCGTCGTTCAACGGCCACCACTATATTTGTCTTGAAGAATTGCAAGGTAGGGTTTTCTTTTAGATCTTTTGATATTTGTTCTCCCATCAATCTCTCACTTATGTCCTTCAAAATGCTTGATATCATTTTCAAGTCTGTTAAATTGAGTGTGATTTCATGGTCAAGTGATGTTACGAGATGAATATTTCCTTCTTTGTGTTATGGACTTAATAGGCAACTTTTGATTTTGGATTTTGGTTGTAGTTTGTGTTGAATTGGCGGTATTTTACACTGAATCGACGAAATCTAGGTCTTTCTCACTATATTGTTCGATGAAATTTTCGCAAAAGTGATATCTTGCTGAAGTTTATGTCGTGAGATGTGGTTTCTTGCTCTGATTGACATTAATTCTATAGGAAACTCAGTAGCTCTAATTTTGTTGAATACTTGTTTAGATCCTAAGTTGTGTCCCTCACGCACGAGATCGAAGTTTTGGTATCGTCTCTCTCTCTCTCTCTCTTTGGACCTCCCAGTGGTGGTCATACCGTAGGTGTCATGTTCCTTCTCATTAATCAAGTATAGATCTAATCTGTGGCTTTCATTTATGATTCTTTGGTTTATTATTGTTCTGGTTAGTGTTTACCCCTTATATCTGTTACTCTCTCTGTATTCTATATGCTTAGAGAATATGACAAGAAGAAATTGCCCATGATAGTGGTGGTTCAATTTTTTTTGGTCTTTATCTGATGAGCTTGCGACTATCTACCGATCATTTTTAGAGAGTATAAAATATTTGCATCATCTATTGCAGTTGTATGCTTGAGTGTAAGCTTGGGCTGAATGATAGAGTGTTGTTAGAGGCACAGGGATGATCAACTAAGGGAAAAGCCATTGATTTAGATGACATCAAATTTCATCAGTATGTAGTCTAACCCTTGGTGTGGTTTTTTAATCTCTCTCTCTCCCTGATCCTTGTTCTCCTACTCATGCTACTCTTTGTGTAGGGTGTTCATTTAGCGCACTTCGAAAATGATCAGACAATATCATTTATACCTCGTGATGGTTCTTTTGATCTCATGACATATAGACTCAGCTCATTTTGGTTATGTAGTTTTTGTCCTTGTCTGTTCAAGTCTTAATGTACTACCTCATAATCATATCCAGGTGCCAGAAATTCTTTTTTCCAAAGTTGAAAGATGCAGATATTATCTAAACTTTGCAGTGGATCTAGAAATTGACAAGGATGCACCAAAGCTTATTGCATCAAGATCACATGGATCTTTAAGGGATGCTGAGATGGCCTTTGAACAACTGAATTTGATTGGGTAGTGAATCTCTGTTCCCCTTGTTCAGGAACTAGTGAGTTATATGTCTGTTTAGCAAAACTAAAAGTCTAAAACAGATTTTTGGAATTGTTTTTCCTACCCTGCATCATTTTATTATCTAATTACCCACAACCAATGTTGTTATACACCAGCAACCTCTATTGGATTTAATGTGCTTGCATTAATCAATTCAGCAAACTATATATGTTTCAGGGAATAGGCATTGCCATGTATTTAGAGCTAGTACTCTCATCTCTCGAATATTGCTTATACTGTTAACATTAATGTGCTAAAAAATTGTTTTTTTCCTTGGCTTAGGTAGATGCCGCCAACATTGCCTTTTTTTGTGCGACTCGGTTTTTTATTTTTTTATCCGAATCATAAATTTGATTCATCAGTTTCAAAAATTCTGAAAATGTAAGTACCCAACCAAAAACCAGACGTGAATTAGAAAGGCAACTTGTCTGGTGCTAAAGATTACATCCATCCATGAATAAATGCAGATTTAACTCTCAGTTTGCTCCCTGAGCCTTCGAATGGTGCTCCTAACAGTCACAGCACTTGTAGTGTTTAACTCTCAGTTTGCGACTCGGTTAATTTGTTGAGTTTTTATTGCTAAACAAATTACTATCCTACGATAATTTTCACCTGACACTCACAATTGGTTAAACACTTTACCAGAGGGGGTTGATAAGGTTCCACAATTCATCCAAGTTAATGCATTTGTCTGGCCACAGTACTTCCTGTAGTTCTTAGTTGTTAACATAGCCAAGGTGCCTTTCTGGCATACAACTTCGTGTAATTTTTTTTTTCTTCTATTAATTTTCCTGGTTTGTCAGACTACGTTGATGACCAGGGATACTGCCGTAATAATATATGTTTCTTTTTGATAAGGAACTTTTATGATGGTCCATTGAAACAATGCCCTTTTGATGCTTGTGCAATGCCATCCTTCACAGCCTCTTCAAGGCTACCATTCAGCCAGTGGCTCACTTTATTGCTCATCCAAAATTATTATCTAGTACTTAAATTTATTACTGCCATATGATGGGTGATAGATAGTCTACATTTGGTCAATTGAAGTCCTTGTCTTAGGCCTAGGGCTTCTTGGCCAATGGAGAACGATAATTTTGATTCACAAAGATGTATATACTTCGTCTACAGGGATCAGGGCCTCTCATCAAAGAAATAAATAAAATCTGAACTAAAAATTGGAGTATCTGTAAAAGGCTATTAGTGGGCTCATCCTTTATGCCATTTGCTAAATACTGATTCTTTTTATAGAATTTCGATGAACTGCATATAATTGAAAATGCCAAAAAAGGGGGACTCATCTCTTGTATGTGTGAGGTTTTATTTTATGCTACTCTTTAATTTGCTTGAATTTAGTGCTCAACATGCCTTGAATTATGTATTATCTCCGGAACATCTCAAAACCTCTGATTGATTTGTGGGGTTGATATGTATGAATTGCTGAGATGATTATTAATAGCAGGTTGGGTTCATTTTTGATGAGAAGTTAGTAGATCTATTCGATTTGGCATTATCTGTTGACACAGTTAAAAGTGTAATCAATTTAATTAAAATTTTCTTATCTCTTTTATTGATTATTTGTTCATATGTTATACTCTTTGTACTTTTGGCTAATTTTTGTTAGGTACAAACAAGTAGAAACTCTGAAAACAGCTTTGGAATGCTCACTTTTAAAGATTAAAGACTAAAGATTAATGACGAAAAATTCAATAACTTGCCAAAAATTGAATGTGTAGTTGAGATTTAATTGTTATGCGATTACTTTTTTTGAGTGAGTATCATTGTCTAGTTGGTAGGACAATTTGAAATCATGATCATAATTTTTTTGTTCATTTCTATTCTTTGATGATGATGCATTGTACGTGTACAATTTAATAATACTAATATCATAATATTATTTTATGTGATTTGATTTGAGAATTATATATTTGAGAATTATATATTTGAAAGTGAGTCTTTGTGTTATTATGTTATTTGTTTCCTCATTAGGTATATATATTGATTCATTAAACTATAATAGGTATGTGAAATTGAAAAATATTGAAAAATAAATAATTTTAAATATGTAATAGGTTTTCTTTTATTCATTTTAATGTATTAACCGAGACAATAAGTTGTCACTAAAAACATGTTCCAAATTTTAGTGGTGATTCTAATTATGGGTAAAATATATATTTTTAACTGCAATTAATTGTTGTCTCAAAAAGTCAAGTTTTAATTAGATTTTTAGTGGTGACATGGTATATTTTAGTGGCAAAATTACGTTAACTTGTTACAATAATTATTGTGGTTAAAAATTTAACATTAGTGACATTTTTCATATTGTGGTTAAAAAATTTATTATTAGTGGCAACAATTAAATGTCATATTTAAATGATTTAGCCACGCACATATTACCGCGGTTTAATGGTAATAAAAAAGTTGCCACTAAATTATATAGTGACAATTTTTATACATTTAATCGCAACAATTTCCACCACTAAAAAACAAATTTCTTGTAGTGCTTAGAGGGTACGAAAAGTATCGAATATGAGATTAAGATTTTACCAATAAGGTGGCTGACCCTAAAAAATAATATTTTACTCAAATATAAATAATTAAGATTTCATGAATATGCACGTAAAAGGGGCATTGTTTTCTTTTGGGATTACTAAAAATTTTATTATCATTTTAAAAAATCAATATACTGGATTATTATTTGATTTTTCATTGAATATTTATAGAAGGCAATATTTAGCCATTTATATTTTTGAGGGGCAAAATTATCTTTTCACATGATAATTTGGGGATGAACATTTGTCTTAGTGTTAGATAAAATTTATAATCGAATCGAATTTTGTGAATTTGAGTTCACTTTATCGAGTTCGTTTTTTTAAATAAATTAAAAAGATTGTTCACGTTCAGTTCATTTAGAAAATAAATTGAGCTAAACTCGAACTAAATCTTAATAGTTCGATTATTTTACGTATAAACGAGTTAAATTTTATAAACTCCGGTTGAACATTTTAGAACACGGACTTCAAAATTTATTTAAACTTTAGTCAAATCCGAATTGTTGGACTCGATTAGCAACTTAGCGGCTAGCACCAAAGGGGAGTACCTAAAATTATAGCAACTTCTAGCCTGATATCAGACTACATCGTTACCTTTACTAACGTCGGTTTGGCAGAAATGGGGTTCCGTCAGTCCCAACTTACAAAAATTTAGAGGACTCCATATGATTATAATAATCAGAGGAGAGTGACCAACCCAAATGTGCCGACTGCCAAGACGGAGACCCTACTTCTCTCCTCTGTGAGAGATGAGATTGTAACTGAGAGGTGTGAAGGAGAGGGTGATACAGAGAACTCTGAGAGCGGAGAGAGAGAGAGAGAGAGAGAGAGAGAACCGAGATAAAGAGGGATAGAGAGCTGAAAGAAAAAGTAGGAGAGAAAAGGGTTGCCTTCGGCTCACCTGAGACATGAAGAGCCCAGAGAAGAGAAGAGAAATAGGGGTTTGAGAGCAGAGAGAGGAAGTTGAAGAGATCACTGCCTGCTTCTGGATTCAGAAGACCGCCAGATCACGTCGTCGAATTGGCCTCAAAACTCATCAGCTTCCGTCTCCTGCTAAGAATACATCAAATCGGTACAGCTCTCTCTCTCTCTCACACACACAGTGCATATACACGTATACGCAGAGTGAGCAATTGAGGTATGACATGGTGGCTGAAATAAAGAAATTTGGGTGTGCCATGTGTGTTGTTGATTGATTTAGAATGACACCACGGATGTAGATTTATACCATGTAGAAAAACAAGCTCAACACTGAATCCCATGCCACATAGCTTATGCTAATTAACGGAAAATTATCTCAAAAGGGTACCGAGACAAAACTAATCAGATTCCAAGAATGCAGTAATTATTACGTAGTTTAAATCACTAGACAATTACAAGTTGGTTCAGAATTAATTGATTCCATGCCGGAACCTCGGCTTGGAACTCTTATAATGTGATTTTCACGATTGCAGTCATTTATGCAATTTAGTGGCGAAAATGCAATGTGGGTTGTAATTTTTTTTTAATATGGTGGGGTTAACTTAGATTAAGGGTAGGCTTGAAGGCAGGCAAGTGTGTAGGCTTGTGTAAGTGCGATAGCGTGCAGTGTGGCCACGAAGAGTGGTGTCTGTCTGCCACTACAATAAGCATAGTTTATTGGAAAAACGAAGAGTATAAACATGCGACTGTGGTTTTATTAAGTTAAACTAGACATCGCACTTCAGCTTCCTCTACTTTAAGTGAATCATTCACTTTGCAAGTTTTCAATAACGGCAAATGTAGTGCAGGGTTCACTATTGTATGATGAATGGTGTTTTACAAGTTGCAGATTTTGATCTATTGAAGCATTGAATATGAGGTGATAAATTTGCTACGTGGAGAAACTATGTCTGCCAGGAAACTGAGCTCTCAGAATCCAAGTTTCTCTTCTGCTTTACTTAGCCTGCTATCTGGAAGTTATTTTAAATATGCTAGGATTTCCAGATGCCAATTTCATGTTTATTGGAATCGCAAAGCAGTCTATCCCTTCATCAGAAGATCATCATTGATCAACTTGGACATGAGAAATACGGGATTGAAATTTCAGCATTGGTT